CGCGGCAGCACGCTTCGATTCTTGCAAAAGATTCGAGAACCAGAACTCCTCGAACCTTTGATTCCCACCATCCTCACCAACTTGGAACACCGGCATTCTTATGTTCGGAAAAATGCAGTCTTAGCTATATGGGTCATCTCGCAGAGGCACTCGCACTTCTTTGGGGATGTAAGCGAGATCATGGAAACCTTCTTGGCTGCGGAACAGGATGCTACGTGCAAGAGGAATGCCTTCACCTTTTTGACGCAGGCAGACGCACCCAGGGCTGTCGAGTATGTTCTGTCGCAGTTCGAAGCCATCCCAAGCATGGACGAACTGATGCAGCTCGCCGTCATCGAGCTCATTCGCAAAGAGTGCAAGGGGGAGAGCCCCAACAGGGTGAGTGGTGCTCATAGCGGCGCAAGCGCACGCGTCCAACTCAACCGTCGTCCTGCTGCCTATGACCACAGAACAAGTACATTCAGGCCATCTCTGAGCTTCTCTCTGCGCCCAGCCACGCAGTCAAGTACGAAGCAGCCATCACTCTCACCTCCCTGACGCAAAACGCAGCGGCCATCAAAGCGACAGCCTCGGCGCTTATCGAGCTCGTGGTCAAGGAGTCTGACAATAACGTTAAACTTATCGTGCTCTCGAGGCTTGACTCGCTCAGACAGCGGCATGATCACGTCATTGACCCTCTCGTCATGGACCTCTTGCGCGTCCTCTCGTCACCCGATATGGACGTGCGTCGCAAGGCGCTCAACATCTCTCTGGATATGGTGTCTTCCAGGAACGTCGAAGAAGTGGTTCAATTCCTGAAGAAGGAATTGCAGAAGACAGTGGAGGGAGCTGGCACTGGCTACGAGAAGAATATCGAGTATCGCCAGTTGCTCATCCAATCCATCCACACTTGCGCCATCAAATTTTCGGAGGTTGCGTCATCTGTCGTGCATGTCCTCATGGAGTTCCTCGGAGACAGCTCGAATCCTTCTGCGGTGGACGTCATCGCATTCGTCAGAGAGGTAGTGGAGAAGTTCCCGAGTCTCAGAAGCAGCATTGTGGAGAAGCTGCTGCAGACCTTTGGAGACATCAAGAGTGGAAAGGTCTTCCGAGGCGCGCTCTGGATTGTGGGCGAGTACGCAAGCACAATCGACGACGTCAAGGAGACCGCCCAGCAGATCAGGAAGGTCATTGGCGAAGTGCCCATCTTGGCTGCAGAAGAGAGATTACTCGCTCAAGCGGAAGACGCCGGCGCTTCGGCACAGGTCGCCGCCTCTGAGGCTGCCGCTGCTGCTGCCCCTGTCACCAAAACCCGGGTTCTGGCAGACGGTACCTACGCAACAGAGACCGCGTTCTCTTCGGAGGCTAATGCGGACGCTCGACTGCAGGCAGTCAAGAATGCTTCCAAACCTCCTCTGAGGAGCTTGATCCTGCTCGGAGACTTTTACACTGCCACGGTTCTGGCCTCCACCCTGACTAAGCTGGTCCTCCGATTCGCATCTCTCAGCTCGGATGCGGCCGCTAAGAATGCTCTCAGGGCCGAGGCAATGCTCATCATGACTTCCGTCGTTCGCGTTGGGCAGAGTAAATTCGCTCAAGCACCCATCGATGAAGACTCGACCGAGAGAATCATGACTTGTGTGCAGACGCTCGCCACTGCTTCTGTAAACGAGGACGAGGAGGATGTTGAAGCGTCGGAAGTCTTTTTGCAGGACACAAAGGCAGCTTATGCTTCCATGGTTGCAGCTCAAGAACGCAAAGCAGAAGAAAAGAGGGCGAAAGAGTCTAAAGCTGTCAAAGTGCAACCCGACGATGTCATTGGCTTCAGGCAACTCAACAAAAAGGGAGCGACTGCGCCTGGCGTCGATGCTGGTTTGGAAGACTATGAAGCTGACGTCAAGAAAGCTACGGGCGGCGCCGTAGGCGCGAAAGACGACTTCATCTCCAAGTTGCAACGAGTCGTTCAGCTTACGGGCTTTTCGGATGCCGTCTACTCTGAAGCGTACGTCAATGTCCACCAGTTCGACATTTTACTCGACGTCCTGGTTGTCAATCAGTCCAACGAGACTTTGCAGAATCTCTCCATCGAATTTGCAACGCTAGGCGATCTGAAGGTGAGCGTCGCGCCAGTTTCAGCCTATAGTCCAGCGCTTTACTCACCCCTTGCCGTTCTCTTGTGTGCCCAGCTTGTGGAACGGCCGACTTCGCACACGCTTGCGCCGTACTCGTTCCAAAGCATTAAGGCGACCATCAAAGTCTCGTCGACCGAGACTGGTGTCATCTTTGGAAACATTGCGTACGAGTCGGGCATCACGGGCGATGCCAAGGTCGTGGTGCTCAATGATATTCATGTCGACATCATGGATTACATTCACCCTGGCACTTGCACCGAGAGCGCCTTCAGATCCATGTGGACGGAGTTTGAGTGGGAGAACAAAGTCAACGTGAACACAAACATTACGTAAGCGGAAAATTGGCGAGCAAGACGCAGCCATGGGAAGGCGCTGAAGTCAATCCTTTATTCCGATACAGCAACCTGCGTGCGTACCTGAATCACCTCATGGCAAGCACCAACATGGCTTGCTTGACGCCAGAAGCCTCTTTGGTAAGTCAAAGACTGCGCGTAAAGAGCTTTAGAACGTGAGAGCTGATAAGCAATTTGCTTCGTGATGCCCTAGGCTGGAGAATGCGGTTTCCTAAGCGGTGAGGTCGTCTTAGCGCTTGCTCTAATGGCGCGTCTTCTGACACCATCCTCCTGCGCCTGTGATGCAGCCAATCTGTACGCACGGACCTCGTTCAACGAAGATGCCCTCGCCAACCTCAGTCTGGAACAGGAAGTGGAGGGAGGACCCATCACTGGTGAGTCCGTCTGTTGCACGCTCCACCGACACGATCGCGGTCGGCGACTGACATGGAATGGGCGCCATTCCCAGGTCACATCCGAATCAGAAGCAAAGGTCAAGGCTTGGCCCTTGCTTTGGGAGGTGAGTGTGGTGGCGCCCATTTGCTTGCTTGCGCACAGATTCCTAAAGTCCCACCTTGCTCTCTGCTGATGCTCTCGCCGCGGCTTGTAGACAAATGGTGAGGTCTCATGGCAGACAGATCCTGTAGTCCAGGCTCGGGTGAAGACTAACGCGCTCTCTTTTGCTCTCGACCCGTCTCCAGCACATTGGCAATGCGCAAGGCGACCGAGGGTGATGCGAACAGCAACGGCAGTGCACTTGACGCTCCTCAATCTCTCACCGCGTCCGTCGCTGCATGAACCGCTTCGGACTGAGTTGCAGCCCTGCCATTGTCACATGCACTTGCCTCGAAATGCGAAATTATCTCCACTTTCTCTCCGATGTCGCAAAGCATGGTTCGTCGATGCAAGTTGGTCTGCACGACGTGACGTATCAGAAGAGGTGGTGACATCACACTTAGCGGGGCGGTGACGTCATTCTTCAAGCACTATATGTTGCTGCGGTTATGGTATGAATGTTGGTACATCGCATGCGCCGATCAAGGGTGTGTGCGCCGACAGTATTCTACTACATGAGTTTTTCGCGCATGGACCTTGGC